GGTGGGGGGAGGAGGGGAGGGGGGGGGGAGGAGGATGTGCAAGGGAGACTGAAGGTGGAATTGTGCAATAGCACATCTCCCCAACACCAAATGCAGCTGACTCGTTTAATGGGAATTCAACGCACTTTAAATTAATCGGAATGGCATTTAGTTTGAAGCGCGCATATCGGTGCGTTTTGTGCATGGTGAATTTATGTCGACTTCGCACATTTTCGATGATGGTGATTGGAAAATTTTGTTGAGCTTGAATAAGCAGAGCCATTCAATTTTCACTTTTCGAAGATGAACTATCCCACTGACCTGGACATGTTTGGATGCTCTACACTTCGTCTGAACGCGAATCTGGTATAGCTGTCCAATAAGAATAATTTTGAACCATGAAGTCACCTCTCTCTCTCACACACACACACACACAGCGATATAATAATCTGCAATTGATGGAATTGCAACTGACAAAATTAAAGCCCGGTTAAACAAGCCGAACTCCAAAATAACTTCTTAATCGCTCGCAATGGAATTCTTCCAGGTTTTATTGAATACAGTTGAAAGGGGTGGGGTGTTGTTATTCAGAAATCCGCAATTAGAAATCTAGAGATCCCAAAATGAGCTTTCTAAGCAAAGAAGTTCACAGCTGGTTCCATTTCATTGTTGCTTTTTGCAAAAGGGCTTAATTTCTAATATATAGGATGAAAACTTACCTGACGGAGCTTGAATGATTCAAATTAGGTACTCCCTCCGACTGTCTCTAACGGAAACTTTGCTGTTAAGTAGTATTCGTACAGTTTGGAATCGTCTCAAGTTCAATATTGACATCTCTTCACCGATTTCATCAAGACTGATGTCCATAACGTAATATGGTTACAAGGGGATTGGGGAGTCATGCGTAATGTAAGACACCTCTTGAATACTCGCGAAAAAGTCGCTTTTTTATTAATATTGAAGAATGGAATTATTTTGAATCTCTGTTATGAGTAATAACCATACTTTAAACAACGTTTGCTGATACTTTAACTATTCGCATAGGGAATGGATCAAGTCCCCAATTTTGTTTTGCAACCTCTCAAACTATAAACTTAATTACGTTTTTCATTAAAAATTAAGCAGACAAATCGCTGCTCGTGCAATCGTTATTGTGACGAGAGAGAGAGAGGGCAGGTTCCCATCATTGAAAAAATCGCGCCAATAACGACTGGCAATGAATGATTTGATAAAAATTACGACTGAACGAATGCTAGAGAGCGAGAGAGTGGAAGAGTGAGGGAGTGGGAGAGAAGGAGAGTCGGGCAGGGGGTTTGTCACGAATTTAGCAACTCAAGCTCACGCGGGCACTAGAGGGGTGGTGGGGGGTGGGAAGGTGGAGGTGAGAAGTGGGGTGAAAGCAAAGGTGAGTGCGAGGGCTGAGGGGTGAGGAGAGGTGAGATCTCTGGACAATTTGTTGCAATTTTTAGACACGCATCGTTACATTTGGCTTAGGCAATAGCAGAAGCGCATTAACATCACTTTTGTGTGTGTTTGTGTGTGTGTGTGTGTTAATTCTGAGTGGTAGTAAGGTTGGCCAAAGCTCATTTGAATAGGAGATTTTATGATGAGTGCGCTTTATGACTATCCGTCCCTCACCCCACCCCCCCCCCCCCCCCCCCCCCCTCACCCCCCAACTCATCTCCCTCCCACCTATTTAACTCTTTCCTCAATGTACCGAAATTGAAAGCAGATGTGTTAACTCGTTCCTCATTATAATCAATCTGCTCAAAATTGAGGGGGTTCACTTAGCTTTTAATCTACTCATTGTTACTCTAAAGTCCAATTATCAGTCTAGAACTTATGTTTTAAATGCTGAAAAAAAGGCCGAGAATTTTTTTAGCAAATTTGTGAAAAGCATAATTTTAACTATTTTGTTGGGAATTTATCAAGACGACGAAACGGTAAGAGAGTTGACTTTTCGAAACTGTGCCACTTTCAATTTTTTTAATGATCCATTTTTCAAGGAGCTTTCATCTTCGATGAAGTCTAAAAGTTCAAGATTAATTCACGACAAAAGTGACAAATTAATGCGTATGAAAAGGAGGTTAGAAAGTGTGATCCGCACGAGGAGAATTAGTGTCTTATAAATGCTCTGCAATCGCCTGATTAAGGTCATGACAGGAATAATCTCATCATCCATCAACATGAACACGCCAGACTTTAATTGTAGCGCTGACCTAAGTTCGACACTGCAGTTAGTATTATAATTATCAATACTATCTTCAGCGTCGGTGAGTCTTACAGCTTAGAAAACAGCCAGTTAAGCGTATTTAAGGGCCCAAAGGGAACACTAGGTGAGTTCATTTTCTTAAAAATTTGTTTATATCAAATGGCAGGCGTTTTGATAGGTATCATTAGCCCTTTACTTGACTATGGGCTTCATAGAGGGGAGGAGGAACATCAAAGTGAGAAGAATTCAGGAGAGAGAATAGAAGAGTGG